ACAGCTTAGCAAGGTATTTAGTAAAATATGCATTTGAAGGAAGTACAAGGGAAGTCTCAGACTTTCTACCAATCTTTACAAAGAATATAATGGTGTTTTTACAGGTAAATAATAGCAGTTCATCTTTATTTTTTAGCAAGTCTACACAGTCCATTTGTTTAGTTATTTTATTTTAATGAGCAAGGTTTCCATATTATAGCTTAGAGGTCAGCATCCTATGACCACTGGGCACATATCCTTGTTCCCTCTTTTGAAAAATAAGGTTTTAGTGCAGCAATGCCCATTTATTCACCAAGGTAGCTTAGCTGTTATACTAAGTAGAATATACAAGAGTAGAATGTGGTAGCTGAACCAAATGCACAGCTGGAGAAGATGAGGACTACTACCCAACTCTTCACCAACCCTTGGCTCCATCATCAATTCAAGGTTCATAGCTTTTATGTTTTGGGGATTAAAGACAGAAACTATTTTTCTCTGTCTAGTAACTTGGGCACTAATTCATAAATCTGAACTGCAGGTGCTTTCTTTTGACCAAGGCAAACAGCCCACCCCTCACTATAGTCTTTATGTAGACACATACTTTTAATCAGAAAAATTCCCCAGGACTCCTCCTTTCCTTTTGAAATAGAAAGGAACAAAGAAGCAAAAGCAGTGAAATGGGCTTAATCAGTTTTTCTTTTGCTCTCATGTTCACTTCTGGTTCTCACTCATTGTGCACCGCAGTCCCAAGCTCACAAGCACTATACTTTCACGTGTGCAGACACTTGCTCTTTTCCAGAGTTACAGTCACTGGATGGCCAGCAGCAACCTGACATTGTGAAGTCATTTCCAGGTGGTCATCACTGCGCATGTTCACTTGTGTCTTTGTATCTTGCTTACCCCACAAACCCTTGTTACTTTCCCTGTAATATGAGATCCCCTTGTACTCTAAACAACAGAGAAACACACTCCTGCAATCCCATGCTGAATCTTCTGCTGTATTTACTCACCAGATGTCTCCCCACGAATTCCAAAGAAAACCGAATTTGTTTTCATTTTCAAGGCCTGGTGTACATATTTCTGAGTTTACTATAAACACACAAGTTTGTTGAGTCATGTGAAGAAATGCATGCAAGCTGATGAGCACCAAAGACCTCACTATGAAGTGGGGGAAGGAAGCAGTAGGATGTTTTAAAGGGAAACCTATGGAAATTGAAATCCTATTCTACCAATTATTCTCATATAAAGGAAGAACAGACATTTACAACAATGCACAGAAAGTACTTTAGGTTACCTGACGTCTAGCCTAAAATATGGTTTCAGCAATGAAATATTAAGACTAAAGTAAGCTAATGTGATTCTTCTCAGAGTAATGCCAATGCTATGAACATGACACAAGAAGAAGCTTTACCACTTCCGAGACCTTACTCATCCTCTGTTTGTTTCTTCTGCTTCCTTTAAAATTCAAATCAAATTTCAACTCTCTGTGAGACTGTCCTGTATCTACATCACAGAAGCACTCAGAGCATCTACAGAAGTCTGGTCAAAGTTCAAGTAAAGTGTCTGGCTCCAATACACTAGATCAGGCAGGGTATTCTGCTTGGGTAGTCTAAGAGCAATGTCTGTCTGAACCATCTCCAAATGGTACAGAGCCTAGTGTGTGGGAGGATTTAGTAAAGGAATCAGAAATGAATGGCTATTTAAATTGAGAAAGCAACAACTGGTTAATAGAAGGAAAATTTCAAAACTTATAGAACTTTGTGTGTGTCTGTTAATATTGAAGTAAATGGAAAATAATATATAATCTATGTCATGTATACTGTCATTTTAGTATCCTATAAATGTATGAATAGACCCTGAAATATATATATGTAGCCTCTCCAAAGTTTTTCTAAATATAACTTGACAGTTTTTCTAAATCATTGTCTTTTAAAACCATTAATAATTCTGCAAACTAAAAGTCGCCTTCTGGGATATTTCCGATTTCAGTCCATCCTTAAGTGTCATCTAACACATATGCTGACTATGGGTCTGATATTTAAGAAAGATTTCTGTGCTATGCAGAAAGTTATCATGGCAACAAACACTCCTCTTATTAAGTTTCCCGTACACATCCCTGGAAACAGAGTAAAAACTGAGAATTAATGTTAGACTCCTGTGTAATACCAGGCTCAGAAGGCTTAGGAAGAGTTTTTAAAAATCACCCTATAATGGTGAAAATTTAATATAAAATATTTAAATATAGTAAAACCACTGACCACCTGGCCATTGCTAAATTCTCTGAAATGGTGTTAATTAGAAAAACCCCAAATTGAGAAGGCATACACATATAGGCATTTTTGATTATCATTTTTGTAGTGCAAGTTTTCTATAATGGAATCACATTGCTCCATTTTCTTTCATTCACTTACTCAACCAATTTATCTAAATTCCCTCTCTATTCTCAGGGGTTTTATTATATTGGAATAGTCTGAGACGTTTTTTATGACATAACCTGTGGACCCTCCTTAATCAAAAACTGATTTGTAACATGTCTGTTTTCATATTGAAGCACCATGTTGAGTGTAGAATTCTATGATGTGGAAATAATCTTTTAAATGGTATGAGTAGAATCATAAAATCTTAGCTATGAGAACTGTGTAAATGAACCTGGTGCATCATTGCACTGTAGGTAACGTGATAAACAAGCTAGACTCAGCACGAAGGGAATACTTGTTAGTTTAAAAATTATCTTCTCTAGTCTTTGTCTCAAAATACAATTTCTTGGGTGTCCAGATTCATGAACATAACAGTTGTGTGTTCAAATGAAAGCCACTGATTTTGTCATGTGAGCACCTTAACAGCTTTTGATAAAAATCTATATTTTTAGTTTTACCAGACAAATTACAACATCCATGTGTCCTATATGTTCCTGAAACTGAAACATTAAAACAAATTATACATGTATCTACTGTCATGTCAGTGGAAAATAGAGAAAGAGCAAGAGGGGCCAACAGTGCTTGTACTACAGAAGTAGAATGAAAAAGACAATAACACTAGAGTGTCAGATCCATAAATTAGATCACAGTTGTATTAAACAATTATCTATTGGTTTTAACTATGTGCCATGTATTTTCCCTAATGCTGGGACTGTGTTGAACACAGTACAGAGGAAATCTAGTCTTCACAGAATCCCCCTTGAAAAGCATCAGATTTGTGTGTGGCAAGAAAGAGAAGGCATAGAGTATGTTTCTAGAAATCTTAATATAGCTTTTATTTCTAGTGCTGTGATCTTTAGAAAACAAACATATAGTGAAGATGATTTAGTACAATTATTCTAATGTCTATTAGGCTGTGGTTGAACAAAAATCTGTTCTCTGACCAACTTTTAGAACTCTGGCGATTTTATAAATGGAGGTTGGGGATTTTGTCTTTGTCATCCACAATACCTAGTTTCAAACCGTCACATGCAGGTACCATATTTAAGTGACTAACAGAACATATTCTAGTAATGATTTAACAATTCTCCTTTTTCTTCTGTTCTAATATGTTTAAGTTGAACAGCCAATGAGCCATGTTTCCTATCCTTCAAATGAATCTGCTAAATAAAAGCTGTGTGTGTGTGTGTGTGTGTGTGTGTGTGTGTGTGTATGTGTGTGTGTATGTGTGTGTGCGTGCACTGGTTAGTTCCCAAACTAGAAATGAGTGAACAAAACAGGAGAAACAAACAAAGAAAGCAGGATGATTTTTAAGGGTAGAAAATTCTGAAAAATTACCCTTCAAAAATAAGGGCAAATGACCCTGGAACTTTTTTTACTCTTACAGGGAAATCTTACATGGATGTCACTCAGTACTCTGTAGCCTATCACACTAATGTAGGCAGCCCATGGATATCTGTTGATTGAATAAGTATGTATCAACAGTTTTCCATCAAAACCACAAATAAATCTATCTGATCATGCTAGTCCAAATATTTAGAGATCAGGTAGATATAAAGAGGCTTTGCCTAAGCTAGGATAGGAGCCATGCACAAATAAAATTCTTTCAATGTTCTAATTTATTTTCACATAGATTGTGTATCAGATTAAAAACTATATAAACTTTACAACAAAGAATTTATAAAAACAAATCTTTCATATGGACTATAAGTGGCAAAATCAATACAGCATGAACTGCAATTGGGAACCAAGAGAAGGCACCGAGTTGCATCTGAATCAAAGGCATAAAAGAGTCCAAAAGCTGCCTGACTGAAAGGGAAGAGCAGGCTCGTAAGCACATGCAAACATGGAGCTTTTCTCCTGTAGCCAAGCTCTGTGAGCTAAATTTGTAGTTCTCACCGACAACTGTGAGAGAATCTCCAATTAAAACAATCTGGTGACAGACTGACAAAGTACACACAGGTCTTTAAAATATCCCGAGAGTTAACCTACCACATCCTCTCCAAAAAACACTGGACTTTTCCAAGTCTAGAGGTAACACTTTAGACAATGTAAAAGGACAGCACATTTTCATTTTTAGCTTCCCCTCCAATATATTTTTGTATTTGACAATTTTTGTTGAGGTGTCATAGTACCATTGTATTCTCCAAGTGGTCGCACTGAACAACAACTTTAACAAAAGGTTTCTAGTAGTAGAAGAAACATTTCGTTTTTTTTAATACTCTTAAATTAACTCTCAAGGTTTATGTCTTAGATCTACATAATTTTGTTGAATTTTAAATTTAGAAAAAGGCTTCAGCCTTAGTCACTGGTTTAACTTTATTAATAATATTTTTACTGCCATAAGGACTGTGGCTAATGTAAAAATTTTTAAAAAGCTGGCATAATTTTACTTAAAGCTTAACTTTGTCACTGCTATTGACTTTATTTACCCAATTTTTATAAAACCTCATGCAAATCTAAATAAAAAAGCAACAATATCTCAATTCAGATATTTATTAGATATTTAGATTTAATTTCAAAAATAATGACTTCTCAGCCTCTCTAATGTCACCAAACTCAAATTATTGTAAAGGCATTTTGCACCACGAGTGAGCCTCTTACCTGTACTGCTGGAAATATTAACGTCAATACTGATATCAGATATTCCTCCTCCCTTCAGAGAGGCCACGCATGTGTAAGTTCCAAAGTCCGTGAATTTTAAGTCAATGATATCCAAGTTTGTTGTTCCGGGGGACACATCCGGGTCAGTCTGTGTAATAACCATCCGCTCAGAGCTTCTTAGTGGGCGACCATTTTTAAACCAACTAAATGTTAACTCTTCAGAAGGGACAGCTTCTACTTGGCAAGATATTTTCACCTCACGCCCAATCTGGATGTTGTCATCTTTGTGATAAGGATCAGGAGTGATCCAAAATCGTCCTTTTTTTAATGCTAAAACAAAAATTCCACAAGGAGTTAGTGTTACCTTCATAATTGTGGGGATTCCGTTGCTCAAGGTAATCATTTCTGGGCTGAAATAATAAAGCAAAGCAAAATGGAATGAGCATATGTTCCTTTGCTAATTTTTCATCATGTGCACTATAAATCTTAGGTACTCCAGAGAAAAAAAGTCTAAACAAAACCCATTTAAAGATTTTCAACACTGATTTATATACATTAGACAACGCTTGACAGTAATAGAAAACAAATAATAGTTGAAATCTACTCACAGTTGCTGCTCTAGTTAGGTCTCTGTTGTTGGGGGGTAAAACACTGACCAAAATCTACTTGGGGAAGGAATAGTTGTATTTCCTCTTACATTTACAGTACATTATTGAAGGAAGCAGGAACCTGGAGCAGGAACTGAAGCTAAGACCATGAAGAACAGAATTGTTTACTGGCTTTCTCACTCCTCTGATTTGCTTGGCAACTCATCTTATACAATCCAGGCCCACCTGCATTGGCATGACATCATTCACAGTGTACTGGGCCCTCTTACATCAAACAGCATTTAAAAAATGCTTCCTAGACATGCTCTCAATCCCAGGAGGATCACATTGGCAACACCATCTAAGTATCACAATTGTTTTTACCTAGGCCATACTATGACCAAATATTATTGCAACGGAATTTAAATGAATCATGGAAATGGTTTACTTAAAATCATAGGGAATTAAATTTTAACAGGACAATATGGATCATCTAACCTAATACCTTCTTATACTCTGCTTTTACTACTCCATAATTTTCCAAGCAACTCACATGCTGTACAAATTTTGCATTAAGGAAAGTTCTTTTAAGATCATATTCTGCATACTGATCAAAGCTGGTTTAGTAAGACTTGAATAAATTAATTTTTATAATGCATTTCTAGACATGTTCCAAATGTGAACTTATGGTTGGGTATGATGAATCTGGAAAACATTCCCCTAACTTTTCTTCTTCTTCATCCCACAGTGTATAGATAGTTTCAGTTAAAACTATGCTGGCTCTTTCTTGAAGAAGACCAAAAGAACACTTTGCAAATAGCACAGAATGCCTGTTATGCTTATGGCCTCAAAACAGGACATTCTGGATCTAGTGTAAGTGCTGAGTGACAATTGGAATCTGCTATAATGGTGGAATAAGGTGACTAGGGTGGGAATTACGGCTTTCTAGGGGCCTGGATTTGGCTTGAAAGTGTAGAAACAACAGGGAATAAATTAGTTCTGTTATGGCAGCTTCTCAAATGAACACACATTTCTGTTTTATACTATTGTCTGTATGCCTCTTCGCCTCAATATTGGACTCACTGCATCTGAAATGTAACTTATACAGTGGAGCTGTATCAGAATAGAATATTGGACACCCACTTTTAACCTCAAAGCTGCAACCACAGGGATACTATCAGCACTCAAGTGTCTGTAGCAGACCTGTAGACATAAGAGGCTACACAACATCATTTGCATGACATATCTGGTGCTAACACAGGTTCCCTCAGTTTTTCCTGGGAAGATCAAGGACTGTACTTGTGCACATGATGAACAGGAGATGAGTATGTTTTTAATCTGAAAGCACATGTTATCTAAGTTTCCTGCCTAGTTAATCTAAAGAGTTTTGTCTGACTCATGCATTGTGTCTTGGAGGAAGTAAAAAAACACGAAAAACATTTGTATCCCTTTTTGTATTCAGAACATTGTCATGAGGTCCTTGTCAAGATCGGACACTCAGTTCAGCCTTAATTATTTGAGATGAACAACACAGAAATCACCAGGATCTTATAGGAATGTATGAGGTTATTATTTTCAACAATTTGTAATTACAATTCATTAATCAAATTCTTGTGACACACGAGTCTAGGGAAACTAGGCACATATACACACGAAATATTTTACAAGCTTCACGAAAACTGAATCACACACAAGAACTTCACAAAACAGTGTTTAGAAAATACAGCTTTGATGATAGTGAAAAATCAGAAGACAAATATTTACAGTACATTTAATACTATTGTTTACTGGATTTTTCATAATAACATGCAATCCTTGAATCTTATTTTTGTGGAACTATATCTTTATTAGTAGGTACTGTATTGCAAAATGATGATACATTGAAGTATTCTCCTTTCTAGAGTAATGTGCTATGTTCTCAGAAATACTGAAGCCAAATCTAGTATCTCCATGAAGGAAATGTAATTGAAAAAGCAGTCATATTTGGCTACTGTATTTGATACAAGATTTTGTATACATACAATTTAAATGCAATAATAGCTTTAGTACACAAGGTAGTTTAGGGCATCAGAGGATTGTTCTTTAAAAACTATGAAAAATACCAAGAACATTTTAATTTTTAGCAAAAAACCCTACATAAATCAGTTCATTTCTAAACATATGCTTACCTCATTTCAAAAATAAATATATAAATTTAAATGGAATTTCTACTCATAGCCATAGTTGTGATAAAATAAAGTATATGCATCAGCTTAATAAATAACTCCATACTAATATGAGGTTATATTTGGGTACTATTAAGAATAACTTGCTTTACAAAATGATGTTGATTGACATATATAAACAATGTAACAAACACTTAGATGATCTTGTGATTCAGATTCACTTAATACACAGTACTATTGTGTGGTTCAGTGCTTTGAATGGAAACAAATTAAAGTATTTTTTTTTGGTTTTTTATGAGATAGGGTTTCTCTGTATTGTTTTGGAGGCTGTCGGTCTATCCCAGCCACGAACTCACAGAGATCTGCCTGCCTCTGCCTCCCGAGTGCTGGGATTAAAGGCGTGCGCCACCACCGCCCGGCTAAATTAAAGTATTTTTGATACCAGAAGCACTTCCCACTAATAAGTCAAATTGGAATGAAACTGCTAAACTAAAAAAAAAAAAGCTGATAAAAAAGTGAAATCAATATTCACATTGTATGTTACAGGCTGTCTTACTAATGAAAATGTGATTTGTAGATCCTAAGGAAAAAGATTAAAGATTATATAGCTACAATCTATAAGATTAAATGTTACATAATTACAGTGTTTTATAACAATACAATCAAAAATGTATTTTAGTGAAATGCAAAAATGATAAATTTAATGTCAAAGATAGTCATTCAATGAGTTAGCTTGAGTCAATAACACTAGACTTCCAAAGGATACAAAAATCAAAAGAGAAAAAAAGGAAAACGTAGGTCTGTTTATTCATCTCAAGGCAAAGAATATCAGAATAAGGAGTTTGGGTCACTCAGCTGAACAGAAATCTTTTTATGTTTGTTTATGTTTTCCTTGTATCTAAGCAAGTGATTATGGACACAGAAGAGAAATAATCCAAACAAAATAAAATATAATTGTTTGTACATGAGATATGTTTATCTATGTTATCAGGAGAGTAAAATGTATTAGACTTTCTAATTCAATTTGTTCAGAAATCTAAGAGACTAGCTCTGAAAACTAGCATATGTAAATCACAACTTGTAATGATCTTTTCATCTCTATGAGGACCTAGATGGGGTTATCTGAGTTTTATGGGTCAAGTGTGTCTTTCATAAAAATAGGAGGTGATAGTTCTAGGCTCGCTCAGAGAGCCACTGTGAGAAATAGATTGTTAACAACTGTGTTTGAGCTTTGAAAATATAAAGTTTTTAATATATTTAAAAAGCTGTGGGACAAGTTCCTTCATTTATAATTAAACACTCTCTTTGTCAGTGAACAATTTTTAGTAGCTAACTTAAAGTCAATAATGCTAACAATTAAGTTAACAATGCTAACTTAAGGTCATATCCTGCTACCATTTAAGATTTCAACCTGTTCATATCAGTCTGTGATAAGTGTGGAAGTATAATAGATAACCAGGGAATTAAGAGACTGTAGAGCACTAAAGTAGTCTTTGAAAAGGAGAGGAAAAAATCCTTTTCTCCAAATGTCATTTCTTAAACAAATATTGAAAACCTCTTAACACCATCCTAAGAGAACTTTATATTTTGTACAATGTATCATCAATTGTAAGAGATGGACCCTGAAAGGTATTCCTTTAGTTTGGCAGTGAGTGTAAAAGTTTGGTGTGAAGCTAACGTCTATTCTGAATAGTCAGTTTGGAAGTATTGTAATATGCACACAATAGATTGCTTCTTTGTCTTAGGCTTGAGACAGAGTACCAGATTGTAAGAAGTCTAGATTGTGGATTCCATAGAAGAAAATTGTGTGATTGTGTCTTGACTGAGGATATCAACTTAAATGTATAAAATATGTTCATTTTAGATTGAAGAAGTTCTTAAAATATATGTCCCTTAAATGGAACATGTATGGCACATCCTCATCTCCCAATCACAGGAGTCACCAAGCAAGGAGAAGCATAAACCATGTATGAGCCAGAGGCAGTGGATGACTACAGAAAAGTTGTGGCTTCTGGACATAGCAAGGCAGCTACACAAATGAACTCACAGTTGTTGTGACAGCATGCAAAAAAATCTATGCAAGCCCATGCCAGGTCAAATTCCAGCATGAAGAGGGGAATTGAGCACTATGTCCTATCCCCTACTTAGGAGTTATGGACAGTTGTCAACTGTTGACAAAAAGAGAGTCATTTTTCTATATGAGTGTAGAGCTTGACAAGTCTACTACACTCCAACATAAGGTCACATATCCAAGAATATATGGGCTTCACAAAATACTCTTGAATACAAAAGACACAAAGTTGAGTTAGTAAATAAGGAGTCAATCTGGAAAGAGTTCAGATATGGGGCATTTATGATGAAAACACACTGTATAAAAACTAGAAGAACTAGTAAAATATTGAAAAGTAGATTTCTTTTGTGGTAAAATATTCCATAAGATAGATAATAAGTAGTAGTGTAACAATAAAAAACCTGATGGAGATAACACAATAAACACAGCAACTGAGAAAGTATCTCTTTAGAAATAAGTATCATGTGCTAACTGTTGGACTTCTGCTAAGAATTTGTTTCATGAAGA